TGTTAACTAGTGCCAAGTTCACATTCCTTTGACATACATCCCTGTATAGTATTTTTCTTTTTTTTTTCAGTGAGAATGAATGGCCCTGAACTAACATCTGTTGTCAGTCTTCCTCTGTTTGCTTGAGGAAGATTGTCCTTGAGCTAACATCTGTGCCAATCTTCCTCTATTTTTTGTACATGGGCCGCTGCCACTTGGCATCCCTTAATGAGCGGTGTGTAGGTCTGTGCCCAGGATCCAAACCCGCGAACCCCAGGCCACCAAAGCAAAGCACTCAAACTTAACCACTACACCACCGGGCCAGCCCCTAATCTTTTTCTTGAAAGAAGCTTCCGTGCCTTCCACGGAGCTTTCCTAAAGATGTTTTTGTATTACAATTTTTTAGAATGCACTATATCTGGGATTCAAATTGGAGGTAAATTGAATGGCCTCTTCCAGAAATCTGGAGAAATATTATGCTGGGTTTTGTACTAGTCAGGTCATTGGTTATCGTCCTGGAATCTATCATGACTGTTAAGTACTCACCCTTCCTGTGATTTAGAGAACTCCCCACTACCTCCACCACTAGGCCTTAACTCTGTACCATATTTGTGCATCTAGTGTGAATCTCAGTTTCTATTTGGAATGGGCTGAGGACACGTCTAGAGCCATCTAGGAGCTTTCGTTCTGTTCTTGAACAGTGCTGAGTTTCCAATATTCCAGAGATTCGGAGAGGAAGAGATTTTCTGGATACTAGGTAATCCCCTGGGATCTTACTCAGACCCATTCTCAGGGGTCTCCAGACTCATCTCAGAATCTGAAGAGCATATTTTGAATAGTTTGGTTTTGTGCTCCATGAGGGCAAGGACTTTGTCCATCTTGTTTGCCATTGTGCCTGAACCTTCATGGCACATACTTAATAATTGATCAAATGAGTAAATAAATGAATTCAGCAGGGGTTTTCAATAGTAAGCATTTACTTTCATGCAACTATCTTTGACCTAATGTTGTCCTCTTAGGGTACTATAATCCTCTCACTCCTCAAGAAACCAGAATCCTTCTCGGTTGTATTTTTTTTTTAAGCTTTGTTCAGACTGTGTTTTCTGAAGTTTTTTTTAAATAGCTATATTGAGATATAATTTACATACAATAAAATTCACCTTTTCAAAGTGTACAATTCAGTGGTTTTTAGTATATTCACAGACTTGTGCAACCGTCACCACAATCTAATTGGTGCAGGAAACAGAAGGCCAGATGGAGCTTGCTGCTAGAAAGACCCAGGTTCAAATCCTTGTTTCTGCCATTTGCAAGCTGTGTGATCTTGGGCAAATTTCTTAAATTCTTGGTGCCTTTGTTTTTCCTAGCTGTGAGATGACTCATCACTCATAAAGTTGTTGTGAGAAATAAGTGAGGCACTGAATATCAAGCACATTGCTCGGAGCGTGGCACAGAGCAGACGTTCGGCAAGCCTTCTTCCCCTCCCCTCTGGGACCCCTGTACCCTTCAGCTGCTGGACCACATAGGATGGTGAGCAGGGACGGAGATGGCTCTGATCTGTGATATTCCTGAGCCACCTTCTCCTGCCTCAGATGCATAGAGACAGGATCCTAAGGGAATGCATCTCGCTCAACAACCTGCCCATCAACCTCAAGCTAACACCAGCTCTGGCCAAAGCATCAGCCAAGATGCTCCATTTTCCACCAATCAGCTGTCCCTGCTAATTTTTCTTTCTCAGTCTCAGATCAGAGGGTTTGAATTATCTCTCAGAAAACCCCTGCACACACCCCACTTGGACTTCAGTAAGTTATGGTCTTTTTTGTTTTCAGTGGTTTCTTCCCCCAGGGGAGCCATTTCTGGAAGGTTCTCAACTCTCCACATTTTTCTTTGCAATTATAGAATATTAATGTTGGAAGGAGCCCTACAGATAATCCAGTTAAACCCTCCTTTTAACAGCTGAAGAAACTGAGGCCCAGAGAAGTGAAGTAACTTGGTTACACAGTTAGTTGGTGGCCAGTCAAGACTAGCACACTGTCAGCATTTAATAAATATTTGTGGAGTGAAGGAATGCCTTTTGGTACATTATATCACCTCAGTTGACCTAGGAACCAGATTGAAATCTGAGGGCTTGCATTCACATTTTGACCCCACCTCTATTCCTTTTTATCTGTAAAACAAGGATAAATCCATAGTTGTTAGTATTTACTCTTAAGGGATGAGATCAGAAGCCTTGTACAGTGTACCACGCTAAGTGGTTATAATATTTATGCAGTCAACATTGTTTGGAGAAAGTGGAAATAACAACTTCCATCCTGATGAGAATCTGCACATTTGGTCTGAATCTTGTAATTCATTTCGGTTTCCCGTTTCTGAGTGGAGAGAGGTGACATTTTCCAGGCAGCTCTGACTTCGGAGGGCTCTAGACCCAGGGGATTTGTTCCCTGCAAGTTATCCCGTGGTTAATGGATGGTACGAATAGTACAGGGTTCTGTACCAAGACCCTGAGAACGGTGAGTGGAAGGGGTGATGGGGAGGGAGGTGGAAGACATCAGTAAAAGGAAGAGAAAAAAATTAGAGATGTCATTGAGCCCCAGAATTTCTTCCAATTAATTTTTAGGCCCACATATAAAATATCCAGGCCTGAATTTCTGATGCTAGCCATTTAGAAGTAGCTATGCCTTCTTTTAGAAAGTAGTACCCAATGTCAGAGAATTTTTTTTCTCTCTCTCTTCCCCTGCTCCCTCCCTTCTCTGCCACTCTCTTCGCCTTTGTGAACAGAGTGGTATCTCCTTAGTGTGCAGGGGGCTGTGTAGGTTACAAACTCAGACCTCAGGCTAGCAAGAGTCAACACGGGGTGTTTCCCATCCAAAGAACTGTTAAGGGTCCTAATTTAAAATGAATAAAGCCTTTCAGCAGGCCCCTTGTTCCCCTAAATCAATTTGATTTTATGTAAACATTTATCTCCTTTGCACTTTTCCACCCACCACACCATTCATATAATAATGCCTTCGTGAACAATAATGTTTTCACCAGATACATTTTGGAGCAAGGGTGGGGTAGGTAAGGGGAAGTATAACACACAGAATGCATTATAAGGAGCCCAGTGTGGCAAAATTTTCCAAAAATCAAGGAGTTAGTGAGAAAGAGCACTCGATTTGGTTTTAATAGAGGAAAAGGTGTTGGAGGGCAAATGTGGTGTGCGGTCGAGGCTATTGTTTGGAGAGAGACTCAGTGAGAAAAAGGCAAGTTTTAAGTATATCATGAGAGCTCCTCTGTGCATTGTAAGTGGCTGTAGCTGACTCTGCTATGAATCTGCAAATGGATTTATTTTTCTCCTTAAAAAAATAAAGTGTTTGAATTCTGATCAATCTTCTCTTAAATAAAAGCAGCTACCCTTTCTAAGGCGCCCCGATTGCTGTGGGCAGACGTTTTACTGCACTTTAGGAAGCGGGGGCAGGTTGTGAATTTGCACACTGCGTAAAGCAGTACCGAGCATTTTCTCTGCCTCCTCGTTCTGGAGGTCCCTCAGATGCAGACCCTGGACCCCTTAGTGCACAGGAAGCAATGCCTAACCTCCCACCCCAGTAAAGATGAAAAGAGAGAAGTGAAGAGCAGATGTTGTAAAATAATGAAATAATATTTAGCTGTTATTTCCAAATTCACACCCAACCTCATTCACAGATAGGGTCGGGAGCACTTGGCCAAATTTGCTTAACGAATCTGGAGAAAAAGAGCCTCAAATACAGAAAACACTCTGGAGAGTGCAATTCTCCTTCCCCTCCTTTATCATTTACTATTTATCTTCCCATCAGGCTTTTTTTTTTTTAAGTGATAAATACAATTAATTGGAGTGCTCTCTAATTCTTTTGTGTGATTGTTAAAAAATAAATAAATAAACAAACTGCCACCATGAGAGCATTTCACCAACCGTTGCTTTAAAATAGAATTTTTGGAAGCATAGTTGATTTCTACTTATTTTTGTTGGTAAATCCTGGGAAAAATGTATATCTTTTCCTTTAAAGTTCTAATTCAAGGCATGGATGTGAGAGTTCTGAAGGGACTTTGGGACTGCGGTAAAATTTCGTTGTCATAGTAACAGAAAGGGAAATAGGCCTAGCTCACCTGGGACTTTAACACTGCAAAAGCTGGATTTTTTTTTTTTTTTTAAGGAAAAGAACTCTGCAAGTGAAATAAATGGAAAACTTATTGTATTTTGAAACAAAATTCCAAACATTAAATAGGTAAATGGCTGAAGAGGCCACTTTTGCCATTTTTCTTGGCTGATGTACTTGTCTGATTAAAGATGCCCAGTTTTAAAATTGCACAAATAGGTTATTTAGGAGAATATTGGCTTAAAAAATATGTCTTATGAATGATAACCTCAGACCGTTATTCTGTGCCTTTGTATTTTTCTGGATAATCTATAGAAGGTCTGAAAGGACATTCATACTTGCTGTTAGTCGTAACAACCCCGGTGTATACCTGCACAGACAGACTCTCTCTTTGGATGGTAACATACCATTTTCTGATCTTATATGCAGTTGAAAATATCAGGCCCCCTTTGTGTGCGATGGTGTACATGTGAGGTGTGTGAGCCTGAAGGTGTGTGTGGCCAGTGGAAAGCCACATATGTGATGAACCCTGGGATTCTGGGCTCATCATGCCATTTTTAACCTTCTGGCGTAAGACATTTTTGCACGGCAGGAGTCACTGCTGCTTCTGAAGACTTTTTTTTGGAGAGAGAATGCCCTTGCACCTCGGGGGCTGGTGTGCAAACCAGACCAGCTTGTGAACCGCTTCACAGTCCTCAACAGTGATGGAGCAGGCAGCACAGGACTTGGGATTGAAAACATCCAAATTTGCAAATTGCAGAGGGTCAGCAGTGTTCCTGCTCAGGCAGGGCCGGCTGAAATTCCCCAGACCTGAAATACAATCACTTTCAAATCAGATCTAATATAATGCAGATATATTCTCTCTTAGCAAATGTTTACTTAAACATATAACACATTGCTTTCTCTTCACAGATTCTTTTTAAAATTTTTCCTCAAGTGCAATCAGAATTGTTTGAAAACAGCAGGAAACCCGAGGGACATGAGAAGGTTTCAGGTAAGGGGCCTGCAGTTCTTTCCTTTTAAATAAGTCATCCTGTTTTCTCTCTCCTCAGCACTCCTCTTCTTTTTCTTTTTCTTTCTTAGAAAATATTATTCACTGATGCTGCTAACAATGAAAAAGATAACTGTAAATGATAACCCTCCTCCCATAGTATTGAGGGTTTCTTCATTTTGTAGCGTTTAGGCCTTCTGCCTCCATTGCCACAGCCCCAGGGGAGGGGCACCAACCCAGGCTGGAGATTTGATTTTCAGCCCTGAGGCTGCCCTTCGCACACACAGCTGCCCGCAGCGGGAACCATGTTCTTGATATTCAGCCACCTTGGGATTTTTCAAAGCAGCTTCTCTGTGCTTTCTGCAAGCAACAGCTTCTTCCTTTCCTTTTCCACCGATTAACTATTCCGTGGTCTCGCTCGGAGTCTTTTAGAAAGCAGCAGCCCAAACAGCCGTGGTCACTTTAAGATCGCAGCATGACAACAAGACCCATGGGACAGTGACCCAGCTGCCTGGCAGTTAAATCTGCCACTGGTTTCATCACCCTTGCCACTGATGTACCGAGGATACAAGCTAATAAAAACACAGAGCAGGCAAAGCGAGTCAGGCTGGCGAGGAAAGGAAGTGCAGCCCCCCTTGGCCCCCTTTCCTTAATCTGTGAAGGACCCATATTTAATCCACCAAATGGCTTTCCTGCCATTCCTACCCAGTCGAAATACATAGTGCTCGCTTCCCCGTAGAAAAATGAAAAACATGTTAAACAATAGTATTCAAGCTTGAGACCTTAAAAACAATCCTGGCAGCGACGAGAGAGGTGGGAATTATTAGCCTCGTGTTTCTGGTGAGGAAAGCGAGGTCCTGGGAGTTTAGGTAACTCACCTCTAATCGCAGGAAGGAGGTAAGTCGCGCAGGAGCCTGGAGGATCTGTCTGAGCAAACTCCTTCCGCCAGACCAGGCGTGTGTGACATGTGCATGCTTTGCTACTGCCTTCTTAAAATTCTTAATAATTTCTGAACAAGGGGCCACACATACTCATTTTGCACTGGACCCCACAAATTATGTAGCTGCTGCTGCCTGTCACTCAGAGAGCTTCTGTGGTTTAGGAACAGAGTCATTAAAGAGTCGATAGGGGAGATGAGCACACACACAAGGCCAGAGAGAACTACTTTGAAGAAGAAAATCTTGTTATTTTTTCAACCACATCACGGTTATCAAACAATCTTGCCGGGGCTGGGACATTTTTTGTTAGTTATTTAACACTATTGCCAGCCTCTTTGAAAAAAGTTAAGCCCCTCCTCTCCATCACACAGATTTCCCCTTTGCTGTATGATGTGAAGACAAATAGAAATAAAATGAATGAGCATTCTTGGGGATCAAGCAGGAACATGGTGCATAGTGGAAGTTTATGGTACTCAGTATTCCAAATGGAAATGTAAATAATTTCAGTCCAAGAAAGTGTGAAATTCAAGAGTTCCAAAGTGCCTCAATGACCAAGGCTTAGCTTTCACTTCTAGAAGAGACAGAGGCCAGGAAGAGAAGTCAGCAGTTTGGATTCTTACCCCTCCTTATTCTCTACCATCACTTCCAAAGAGTTCTACATTTGAGAATACTCTTAGAAATTTGAAGAAGCTGTTAATAAAATGCCTTGTCATTTGATTTATCCAAATTTTAGAAATGTACTCACTAAGCAAATGCATGCCAGTGTTTCCTCTACTTCTTCAGTGATTTACTAAATGAGGTTTTCAATGTGCCTGAGTTTTTAACAGGGTTGGAATAAATATTGCTGATCTCAAAATGAAGAGGAATTCTCATCCCATGTAAAAGTATTTGACTTTTGCAAAGACAATGGAAAAGATTAAAAAAAAGAGTTTGTGGATTCTATAATTGTCTTATTTCTGGGGTAGAGCTAAAGTCAATTGGCAATTTTTTTTTGCTTTTTTTATTGAGATAAAATGCATGTAACATATCATTCAACATTTTAACCGTTTTAAAGTGTGCAATTCAGTGGCTTTTAGTATATTCACAATGTTGTGCAACCATCACCACTATATAATTCCAGAACATTTCCATCATCCCCAAAAGAAATACCATACCTCTCAATTCTCTTCTTTCCCCAACCACTGGCAACCACTAATCTACTTTCTGCCTCTATGGATTTGTCTATTCTGGACATTTCATAATCAATGGGATCATAGAATATGTGCCCTTTTATGTCTAGTTTCTTTCACTTAGCATAATGTTTTCAAGGTTTATCCATGTTGTAGCATGTATCAGTACTTCATTCCTTTTTATGGCTGAATAATATTCCATTGTAAGAATATACCACATTTTGTTTATCTGTACATCAGTTGATGGACCCTTAGGTTGTTTCTACTTTTTGTCTATTATAAATTGTGCTGCTATGAACATTTGTGTACAATTTTTTTTATGAACATATGTTTTCAATTCTCTTGAGTATATACTTAAGAGTAGAATTTCTGGGTCATATGGTAACTCTATCTTTAACTTTTTTTTTTTTTTAAAGATTTTATTTATTTATTTCCCCCCCCCCAAAGCCCCAGTAGATAGTTGTATGTCATAGTTGCACATCCTTCCAGTTACTGTATGTGGGACGCGGCCTCAGCATGGCCGGAGAGGCGGTGCGTCGGTGCGCGCCCGGGATCCGAACCCGGGCCGCCAGCAGCAGAGCACGCGCACTTAACCACTAAGCCACGGAGCCGGCCCTATCTTTAACTTTTTGAGGAACTGCCAAACTGTTTTCCACAGTGTCTACACCATTTTACATTCTCACCAGTAGTGTATGAAGGTTCCAATTTTCCATGTCTTTGCCAACATTTCTTATTTTCTGTTTTTTTTCTTTTTTTTTTTTTTATTCTATTCACCCTATGAGTATGAAGTGGCATCTCATTGTGGTTTCAGTTTGTCTTTCCCTAATGACTAATGATGTTGAGCATCTTTTCATGTACTGATTGGCCACTTGTATGTCTTCTTTGGAGAAATGTTCCTTCAAATCCTTTGCCCATTTTTAAATTGGGTTATTTATCTTTTTATTGTTGAGTTGTAAGTGTTCTTTATATATTAAGGATAATAGGCACTTATCAGATAAGTGACTTCAAGTATTTTTCCTCATTCCATCATTGTCTTTTTCACTTTCTTGATAGTGTACTTTGATGCACAAAAGAATTGGCAACTTTTATAGTGTACTCAGATTCTATTAAGAATATAACATTCATTGAAAGGTCTCTTACATAGAGAAGGCTATTATGGGGAGAGGCTTGACTGTGTGCTACAATGGTAAAGTGAGAAACTTGGATCAAGTTCAAAATATGAAACAAAACCAGGGATAATAGGTAGTCGCGGTGGTGGGGAGAGATCTGAAGGGATAGAAATGTAGGAACTCCTGGAATGTATTTCTCATTCAGAATGACAAAGGTAATTATTTTAAACTATGTAGACAAGTACTTCAATTCTCCACTTTTGTTATATGATCAAGCATAGATTTAATCTGAAGTATTCTTTTGTGGATATTTGATCTGAACAGAATAGAAATAAGAAATATTTCTAACCAAATCATGAATCCAACTGAACTCTCTCTCCTCTCTCATCTCTCCTCTTTCCCCATCCCTAAAACACTGGTGGAACCTAGATTCTTTTCTCAAGAATGATGAAGTGAGAACAAAACCATTAATCAAACTTATTTGCAGCCTGAACCAAACTTGTCTTTAATTCAGTCCAAGTCCTAAGTATCGTAGACGTATAAAATATCAAAACACAATGGGTTTTAACCCTTTTTTGGCTCAGACGCCTTTGAGAATTTGGTAAAAGCTATGGTGTCTGTGCCAACAAAAAGCTACTTTTAAACAAAATTTTACTTAAAATGTCAGGGGTTCCCAGACCTCTTGAAACATCTCTTCGGGTTCCATGAACCCCTGATTTAAAGAAATGAAATTCATCCAACACCAAATGGCATCCTCCATGTAATTTAACTCTTATGATGGGGATGTGTCCACTTAGAACTTTTCCTGATGATCTTCCCACTCTCTTGGCTTTAAACGCCATCTGTTCCCAAATGACTCCTTGAGCCACATCCTCAGACTTCACCCTTCTTGGAGCTGCAGACATACAGCTCTACCTCCCTCCTGGGCATCTTCCCTTGGATGACTAATGAGCACGTGTTCACAGCAGAACTCAATACTTACTCCCTGATTCATACCCTCCTCATTTATTGTCAAAGTGTCACTTCCTCCCTCTAAGTATCTGTTAAATCCATCTCTCTCTCCTAAAAACTGCAGTAGGCCCTGCCTCTACTCCTTCCTTGTCTAATCCATCCTCAGCACTACTGCCAAAGTTATCTTTTGAAACAGGTCACTCCTCTGCTGAAAATATGTTATAAATATCTACTGTCCATAGACAAAAGCTCAGATTTAAAAAGGCTCGGCTGGTAAATATCTTCATACCAGGCAGCGCTTTGGCCACACCCATCTCCGGATATTTCCATCTGCCCACCACTCACCAGACACACCTCACTGATTTCTGCTACATGGAATACGTATAAAAATGCTTTCCATGTGTTTGCCCCTCTGCCTGAGAACACTTCACCCCTCTCCAATTTGTGACTTCTACTTATGCTTCAAGACTACACCTGAGTGTCACCTCCTTCGTGGGGCATATTCTAACTCTTCCTGCCAGACCCATTGGCTCCTTCTTCTGCGCCAACATACCATTCTCCGTAAGCTTCTACTGCATCATTGAGCACATTGTCTTGCAACTATTGTTTATATAATAGACTGTGTGCTGCTTGAGGGTAATTGGTATGTTTTATTTATTTTTGTATTTCTCCCCAACTCCTACCACAGTGCCAGCCACTCTACAGAGCTCAATAAGTTGTTATTACATGACTTATTAAGAAAGATAAAGAAAAAGAAAGGAAGGAAGGGAAAAAAGAAAAGATTTCCAGGACCCCCAACGTATCTAAATCCATGGACCATGAATGTAGAAAATCAC